GGCATCCAGGGATTCGAACTGGGCTATGACCATCCCTATCTTTGCCTCCTGCAACGTCATGCCATCCTTGATCGCATGCAGAAGATGATTGTGAAGCTGCCTTTCATGCCGTCCTGACTTCGCCAGCACCGAGTCCTTCGTGCCTTTGTCCCTCACGTCGACTGTCACCGAAGCTTCTTGTTTTACCAACTCTTGAAGCGCTTCCCCTTGCGCACACGAATTTTACTTCTACTTCATCGGTCAAGGTCCTCCTCCTCTTCCTCGTCGTCGTCGTCGTCCTCCTCCTCCTCCTCATCCTTTCTCCTCGCCCTCCTTTCTCCTCCTTTGTCCTCCATTCCCTATTTTCCTGTTGTTCCTCCTCCGCCTCCTCCTCCTCCTCCTCCTCCTCCTATTCCTTGCCCCCCCCCCCCTCCCCCCCTCCCTTCCGTCCCACCGTCGTTGCTGAAGATGCTCTCAGGGTTTCGGGTATGGACCCACCAAGAAAGATCCGCAGCCTTTCATTCGGGCGAGGAAGGAAACGCATGGTGAGAGTTGGGATGGCAGGGGTAGAGTAGGGTGAAGGACAAGATAAACAGAGCAGAGTGTGTTGTGAAGGGAGGGAAAGGAAGCATATGCAAGGACGTGGAAGGGTAGTGAAGTCCAGCATGAAGGAGAAGGAGAAGGAATAGGAGAAGGAAAAGGACAAGGAGAAGGAATAGGAGATGTGCTGACAGTGTGAGCAGGAGCTGATCACATGCATCGAGTCTTCACGGGCACGCACGAGTCCATCGAGGAGAGGAAGGGAGTCGTCCGCAACATGGAGGACGTGAGCAGGATCGGGAGCGAGGCGGCGGGTGCTGACGCTGCTGTCACGTAGGTTGGGGCAAACTTCAAGGGAGGGAAGGTCCAACTGCATACCAAGGGCAGAGCATGAGGATGAAGCAAGTTGAGCAAGGAATGGAGGAGGAGCGAGAGAACGATTTAAAGCATTCATAGGAGTGCTGCTGTAGACACTGAAACAATATATTTACATCCTTCAGGCGCCCTTCCCCTCCTCGTCCTGATCTGACAGAGTCCCGGTGGACCCCGCTAGTCCTGTAGACACGAAAGAAGGAGGGATGGATGAGCCGGCCATGCTGACGCTTGACGCTCCCGTGCCGTAGCTGATGAACACGATCAGCAGCCGCAGGGCAGGCGCTCCTCCTCCCTTACCCTTGCGAGGTCCCGTCAATGACTCGGGCCTCTTCGTCAGAGTCGATGGAGAGTCTGGGAGCGGTTGAGAGAATGGAAAGTCGGGAGCTGGAGCGCTGGAGGAGACGAGCAGAGGAGATGAAGGTGTGTTGGTTGAGATTTGAGCAGGTGACGGAATGGACAAGGACCAGGACCAGGATGAGGAGTAAGAGGGAGGCGTGGGAGGGAGAGCGCGAGATAATTTTCTCACCTGTCCTTGGGGTAAGAGAAGTAGACCAAGGTCCACACGAGGATCTACGAGTCAAGTCAGGTGAAGTCAGTCAGCCCCCTCGTCTTACAGAAAGGAGCCAAGAGATGGTAGTGACCATGACTAGTGAGTCAGCAACGATCTGCATATGCCGTCAGCTCTATGGCTGGTGGCAGTCGACGAGATGGAGCAGGGAAGTAGGAGGGCACCAGGGGAACAGTCAGGAAGGAGGGAAGGAGAGCAGCCAGGGCGGATGAGAGGAAGAAGGAAAGGAGCTAGGAGGGAGAGGAGGAGCAAGGAGGAGCGAAGAGCGAGGAGGTCAAGAGGGAGGAAGCAACTGACCGTAGCACGAGCGGAGGCGAAGGGCTGAAAGGTCGGTTGTATTTCCTTGCCGTCTGCTCCTACTGCTCCCACCGGGCCCAGCTCATCGGGCTCAAGGTTGTAGTCGTAGTAGCCCTCGGCGATGATCCCAACCTGCCTTGTGAGTCAGGAGACACGCGGCTGCTGCTGCTCCAGTCACCAGCGGAGCAGCGAAGGCCGACATGACGGTGGCGAAGAACCTGGAGAGGAGGAGATGAGAGGACGTGAGAGGAGGGAAGAGGAGGGAGTGTAGAAGAAAGGAGGATAGAGAAGATGCGAGGAAAGAGAGGTAAGATATGATGAACAATAAGGTGTATAGAGGAAACCCCGCAGGAGATTGGCGAGGGGAACGGAGAGGAGTACAGAGCAGAGCACAGGAGAGCAGAGGGGAGGGCAGGGGAGGGCAGGGGAGGGCAGGGCAAGAGGGAAGGAGAGAGAAAGGAGGAAGAACAAGGAGACGGCAATCTATCGTCACCTCTCCACGGCGATGCCTGACGTGTGATAGTCCTGGGGGAGACAAGAGACAATGATGGGCAGGTTACAAGCTGCTCCTGTCCCCCCGATCGACAACACTCCCGTCACAAAGAGGCTGAGCAGCCGGTCAGGCTACGAACACCAGCCACCGAGTCAGGTACCTGATGGCATAGCACAGCCCTGCAACAATCATGTCCTGCCCCTCCAGAAGTCTCGGCAAGACCTCCAGGTCCCACACAAAGAGGAGGATCCCCAGCCCTATCGCCACCTGCGCCAGGAAGATGCGTCCTCTTAGCCTGTCCGCCCTCTCCGCCAGGTCCCCTATGACCCCTCCGAGCAACGTGCCAAGAGCGAACCCAAGGCCAGTGATGAGTATAAGGAGAGCAGTTGCTCCGTTGCTGAACCCCATAGCCTCGAGGTAGAAGGTTACCCAGCCCGTCATCGCCATCCAAGGGACGTTGCCGACGGCCTGGGGAAGAATGAGGATCCTTAGCGTGGGGATCGACAGGACGTAGGAGATCCTCTCCAGCCCCTGGGAGCAGCGCTCCGCCATCTGCTCTTGGAACTGCTTCTTCTCCATGCTCTCGATCTGCTCCCTCTTGCTCTCATCGTACGCCTCTAGCTTCGTCGCAGCAAACAACGCCAGTCCCACGATGATCACGACGATGAACCCTGCCCACAGCAGCATGGCAAACCGCCAGCCCTCCAACCCGAAGTAGGAGGATGCCGCCAGCACCGTTGCCAGCGTGCTCCCCAAGACCGCTCCCATGATCCCCGTGAACGCCAGCGTCCCGAACCCTCTCCCCCGGTGCAGAGCATCGTGCATGTCACCCACCAGCGACTGCAAGGAAGGGACGAGGAGGCCGATGCACACGCCGTTGATAGCCTTGACGAAGAGCATCTGCTCATAGCTGGCGCTCAGCGCCAGGGCAACTGTGGAGATAGCAACGCCAACGAGGGACCAGAGGATGATGCGGCTCCTGTAGTAGCTGTCTCCGAGCACGCCGGAGATGGGATAGACAAGGGAGGAGGACAGGGCTCCTGCCAGGGTCAGCATGCCCAGTTGTGTGAGGGAAGCATGGAAGGAGAGCGAGATCTCCTGGAAGACTGCAGGGATGAGCCTCTCATCGCCAAAGGCTCCAGCGGATGTCAAGTTGAGAAAGACTTTCTCGGTTGCAGCGGAATCAGTATAGGAAGGAGTTTCCCTCTCCTTCTCCCTCTCCTTGTCTTGCTCTGCGAACTCGACTGCCATGCTCTCCTTCCTTTGCGATCGAGCTCAAGCGTCCTAGATTGTCAGCTCGTCAAACTTCGACCTGGGAAGAAAGTTGAGAGATCTTGCCGCATGAGAGTCTGAGATCATCAGAGGGGAGCAGCGAAACGAGAAATGTAACACAAGATTTGCCATCTTCATCATCTCATCTCATCTCAATCTCATCTCAATCTCATCTCAATCTCATCTCATCTCATCTCATCTCAATCTCATCTCATCTCATCTCAATCTCATCTCAATCTCATCCTAAAACGCACAGTCCTATCAACAAGCAACTCTCTCATTAGAAATCTTTTCACCTGCCGTCCATCCTTCTACTCCCCTCTCCTCCTCTCTCTCACCTGCCGTCCATCCTTCTACTCCCCTCTCCTCCTCTCTCTCACCTGCCGTCCATCCTTCTACTCCCCTCTCCTCCTCTCTCTCGCCTGCCGTCCATCCTTCTACTCCCCTCTCCTCCTCTCTCTCGCCTGCCGTCCATCCTTCTACTCCCCTCTCCTCCTCTCTCTCACCTGCCGTCTATCATTCTACTCCCCTCTCCTCCTCCCTCTCACCTGCCGTCCATCCTTCTCCTCCCCTCTCCTCCTCCCTCTCACCTGCCGTCTATCATTCTCCTCCCCTCTCCTCCTCTCTCTCTCTCTCTTACCTGAGTCTCTGCCATGAAGCGAAACAGGCGTCTAGTACGCGAAGAGTCAACTCCCAGTAGTTCCCCGGGCCCGGCCCGGCGGCGAGTCCGGGCCCGGCCCCCGGCGGCCCAACTTAGGACTCTCACTGAGAGCTGCTGAGCCGCCGCCGCCTCCGTCTGAGCCCGGGGGTGGCCTGCGCCGCGCCTGGCGCTGTGGCAGCCGCTGAGCGCGGGCCGCCGGGGCTGCGGCGGCCGGGGCGTGGCGGCGCCCGGCGCCGCCGTGACTGGCTCGGGAACGCCGGGGCGCCCGGGCCCCGGCCCGGGCCCGGGCCGCTCAGCGGCTTGGACTCTGCCAGCGGTCGGACCGTACGGCGTGCCCGGGACTGACTCTGTGAGCCTGCCCGGCGCCCGGCCGGCTGAGCCGTACTACGGTACTCAGTAGCCTCGGATCCCGGAGTCCGGAGCCTCTCGGAGGCCCGCGCCGGACCGTCCCAGTGGCCCGGCCCGGGCCCCGCGGCCGCCGGCCGCCGCGCGACGCCCCCGCCGCCCCCTCGTATCGAACCGTTGAACGCAGGTTGAACGGCGTCGCTCACTGAGTCACGGAGTCACGGACGGTTTACAAGGGCACCAAGTTTACTACCAACCGTGAACCGTTTCTTGGGCCTTATCAGTACAGAATCGAACTCCGAAAGGGTCGGTGCCTCGGCGCTTCAGCCCGAGGGGCCTGTAAGCCCCTTGCAGCAATCATCGCGTGTCATGCGTTCGCGTCCAAAAAGAGCATCTTTTCGTGGATCTCTGTCTCGTGACTGGGTCATGTGAGCAATCTTTACCACAGAGATTTTTACTTCGCATGTCACCGCCCCCTTCCCCTCAATACAAAGCTCGTATCGACCCTTTGATCCTTCGTCGTCCAGCGTCTCCCCTTGGGCCATGTCCCCTCAGCCATGCTTCGCAAATCTCATCGTGTCTCCCCGCCATCAGTCGATCCAATTGGACGTGTCTTCAAGCATACTCTCTCAACCCGCCTCCCCTCCTGCCTCCCCTTCTGCCTCCCCTCCTGCCTCCCCTTCTGCCTCCCCTCCTGCCTCCCCTCCTGCCTCCCCTCCTGCTCACCTCAATGTGAGCGCTCAGACCTGGAGGAGCTTCTCCCTGGACAAGCGACGGAGGCTCATGTGCCTGGCTAACTCCATCGCGCTAGTGCAGAAGAGAATCGAAAGGAAACCTGAAGGTCAGCTAGCTGAACTGCCGAGCATTCCTCGACGACGCAACGTAGAGCAATAGATCGAGCGATCTTGCCATCTCCAGGCGAGCTGCTGTAATATAGAATGTAAAGTAGAGATATCAATGAACTTCCCAATACAGCCTGACCTTGACAAATTCTAATACACTAGACTTGGGAGCAAGAAATCATTTTCAGGTCGAGATGTTCTTCGAATGACATGACATGATTCATTTCAAACATCTACTTCGCTGTGTATCTATTGATCAGAATATGTCGCGAATGCTGCCCTCACTGAGCTAAATATGTCACCCTATGGTATATGTTGACGATTTTGCACCGCACGATCAAATATTCTTATATTCCATAGACAGGGCCAGACAACCAAAGGTCTTCACTCTCTTTCTGCTGTCATCTGCATGCAGGAAAGATTAGCACAGATGGTCTGATAGGGCACGGCGTTGCTGCTATCATTGAGCCTGCCTTAGTACGCCTCATACATGCAGTGACACCCTGAAGCTGTTCGGCTTGGTCCGATCAAGTTGCATACAGGCTGCGCGGCACTGAAATCATTTCAATGCTCCGTAGCTTAGTAGGCGGGGATCTTCCGCCGAAAACTTCGCTGATCATCGGATCCCGGCAGCGGCCTGGTTCAGTACCGTGGCAGCCTGAGCCTGTGCCGCCGCGCAGTGCACCTCGGAACTAAATCGGCGGGCGCGGGCAGCTGCGGCACCGGGCATATCGAGTCGGACCGTCAAAAAGTTTGCCCGACCCCCCGGGTCCGGGGCCCCGGCGGCGGGGCGGGTCTGCCCCTCACTGCGACACGGCCCATCATCGGGAGCTGCCTCGGTTACGGCCCGCCGCGACTCCGGGGCCCGGCGGGCCCCGGTACCGTCACTGTGGCCCGCCCCCGCCGGGCCCCGGAGTCCGGGAGCCTCGGCTCCGGCGAGCGGCCCCCCGCGGCGTCACAAGTTCGAAAGTTCGGCCGGTCGAACTCCGGGAGTCCGGGAACCGGCACTGGCACCACTGGTGACCTTACTGGTGACCCATTGCGGCCTGGCCCGGCCCTCAGTCACGGCCGCCTATCGGCCCCCCCGGCCGGGTTCCGAAGTTCGCCGGTCCGATCATACTCACTGGCAGCACTGGCACGGAGTCGGAGCGGCCCACCGTGAGTGGGGTGGTGTCAACTTTGGTACCCCTTACTCTGAGTATTGTTGGTGCTGAAGTGAGGGGGTGGGGTCATATACGGTCTTGGCGCGTACGGTCGTCAGTCAAAGCTATCACCGAAGTTGACAGCCGAGCCATGAGCGCCAGAGCTGAAGGAACCGAAAGAGCTGAAGGAGCCGAAAGTGCTGAAGGAGCCAAAAGCTGAAGGAGAGTGTGAGGAGGAGAGAGTGTGGAGGAGGACGAGGAGGGTAAAGAGGAGGAGGAGGAGAGGAGTGAAAACATATGAGACGAACCAGGGAAGTATACTATCATCTGTATGGTAAGAATGAAACAGATAGACGGATGGGGACGCTGCAACAAGAATATTCCAGGGCTCTGGTGGTAAGCAGAAAGGAGAATAAGGAAGGGAAAGAATAGGATCCAACAATCTCATACAATGAAAGTTGTTCGATGTTTCCTTTGCAACGACATGTCTCATCTATTCTTGACCAGGACTATCCCAATGGGAGTTAAAGCCATCGAACCGCGTTGACAGCTGCCGTTACCTTCGAGCTTCATGGCTCATCAGCAGGGGCATCCTTATCATCAGTTTCTTCCCCCAGAGCTCTTAAGGATGCCGCAAAGATCTCGCAACGAACAAGATCTGATCCACCTTCCTCCTAGCTACTACACCCAGGACCACACCCTCCCGGTCTACCATCAGCAGGTATTGCAGCCTACTCCGTACACCATCCACCCGCAGCAGATTCTCCCTCCTCGAAGCACAGAGATGCAGCATCCATTCCTGGTACAGCAGACGCTCGAGCGTCAGCAGCATATGCCGCATGGACTGCCGGACCTGTTCCTGGTACAGCAGACGCTCGAGCGTCAGCAGCATATGCCGCATGGACTGCCGGACCCGTTCCTGGTACAGCAGACGCTCGAGCGTCAGCAGCATATGCCGCATGGACTGCCGGACCCGTTCCTGGTACAGCAGACGCTCGAGCGTCAGCAGCATATGCCGCATGGACTGCCGGACCCGTTCCTGGTACAGCAGACGCTCGAGCGTCAGCAGCATATGCCGCATGGACTGCCGGACCCGTTCCTGGTACAGCAGACGCTCGAGCGTCAGCAGCATATGCCGCATGGACTGCCGGACCCGTTCCTGGTACAGCAGACGCTCGAGCGTCAGCAGCATATGCCGCATGGACTGCCGGACCCGTTCCTGGTACAGCAGACGCTCGAGCGTCAGCAGCATATGCCGCATGGACTGCCGGACCCGTTCCTGGTACAGCAGACGCTCGAGCGTCAGCAGCATATGCCGCATGGACTGCCGGACCCGTTCCTGGTACAGCAGACGCTCGAGCGTCAGCAGCATATGCCGCATGGACTGCCGGATCCTCTTATCAGTGACGGGGCTCGCAGTCGTGCAGGCGTTTCCTCTCCGTCGGCCAAGGACCTTCACTTGTCGTCATGGCGTGCGATGGAAGGCGAAGAGTCTCCATGGACCGAGGCACTGGAGCGACACGTCGAGAGAGGAGGTCAACTACCTTTCCCTCCCCAGCAAACGGTGACCTGCTGTACCTGCAGGAGGGCAGCGCGCGGCTGCTGGGATGAACGTGGAGGAGCCAACGAAGCCTCGTGTTAGCTACATGGATGAAGATGCTGCTGGTATGGTCAGCGGTGAACGTGAAGGACTCGAGGAGGAGGGAGGAGAAATTTGCGGGAAGCGCGTCCTACAACCTTCCTCTGCTGGGCCCGAAGGCGATTGAGAGGTGAGGGAAGAGGAGGACGGAGATGATGAGGAAGGGTCCGCGGTGGAGGACGAGAGAAACGAGGAGAACGAGGGCAAGGACGAGAAGGAAGAGGAGCTTGGAGGAGGGGGGTGGAGGGGAAGGGATGAAGGTGGAGGAGGATGAGGAGTGTGCGAGTGACTGGGAGCAGACTGTCGAGGCTTCTCCCCTTTCTCCGGTTCGTGGGAGACAATCGACAGGTCAGGGAGATTCTACAGGAGGACATGCCCTGGGGTCATGAGGAGGAGGATGGGGGAGACTGCGGGGCGTGCAAGGAAGAAACAGCAGGAAGCTGTCATGTGTGCGGCAGCAGGACAGTCGTTGAAGAGCATCCGGTGACTTGACGTGTAGCGATGACTTGGCTGACTGATGGTAAGAAGAAGCGCAAGGCTGAAGAAACTCTCAACCTCATGGGGCCTTTGAGATCGTTCTTTGACAAGCTTGTGAGTTTGTTTTTTGACCAGAAGATGTCGTGCATTTCTTGCGATCGTTCGCTGGTTTTTGTTCTTGATCTAGCCTCCTCCCCTCAAACCTCGCCTGTTGTTTTTCTCTCTCCTCTCTCTTTGCTTCCCTTTTTCTGATCCTTCTTATTGTTCCCTGCTCCCCATCTTCTTTCTACTCCTCCTCCTCCTCCTCCTCCTCCTCCTCCTCTCCTCCTCCCTTCCTCCTTACCGTCCACCTCACCCTCTCTCACACCCTCCTCCTCTTCCCTTCGTCTCATTGCCTCCGCCTTCTAGAAAACCTTGCGGAGGTCTCACGCTTGGACTCCGACCGTCAACCCTGTTCGAGCAGCACAGCTGGCGCACGAGTGGAGGGAAGAGGGAGCGGCGGGAGGAATTAGAAGAGGAAGAGAAGGAGAGGACTGGGGACCGTTGAAGTTTTGGAAGAGGTATGATGAAGATGATCGTGATCGTGATCGTGATCGTGATCGTGATCGTGATCGTGATCATGATGATTGGCAAGAACTGCAGAGCAAGGGAGGGATGCATGGGAGAGGAGGGCAGGAGGAATGGTGGTTTAATCTCGCAGCAGGATTCTCGATTACGGGATTGCAGAAGGAAAACTTTCTCCTTTCCTCTTCGATATGTTGGACTTGCTACATATCCTAGCAGTATCTGTCTACTGAGAGCTGCTCACATCTACGCTGACTTCCCTCCAGTCTGTTTTCTTCACTTTCCTCCTTGCTCGCCTTGGCTTCTACTCGGCTGGAGTACCGATCTCCTTCCTTGCTATCCATGTCGAGTGTCTGTTCCGACAGGTACGGAGAGGAGAGGAGAGGAGAGGAGAGGAGAGGAGAGGAGAGGAGAGGAGAGGAGAGGAGAGGAGAGGAGAGGAGAGGAGAGAAACTTTAAGAGGGCTGGAAGGAACAGAAGAAGTGGAGAAAGGGCGAGGAGGAGGAGGAGGATAGGGGAATAGCCTTGATCGAGCTAGTCCTGGTAATGATGATGGGTGGAAGGTAGCAGCAGCAAAATGAGGAACAGAATGATAAGGGAAGGAAAACAGGTAAAGCAGTGTAGAAGCAGCAGCAGCAGCAGCAGCAGCAGCAGCAGCAGCAGCAGCAGCAGCAGCAGCAGCAGCAGCAGCAGCAGCAGCAGCAGCAGCAGCAGCAGCAGCAGCAGCAGCAGCAGCAGCAGCAGCAGCAGCAGCAGCAGCAGCAGCAGCAGCAGCAGCAGCAGCAGCAGCAGCAGCAGCAGCAGCAGCAGCAGCAGCAGCAGCAGCAGCAGCAGCAGCAGCAGCAGCAGCAGCAGCAGCAGCAGCAGCAGCAGCAGCAGCAGCAGCAGCAGCAGCAGCAGCAGCAGCAGCAGCAGCAGCAGCAGCAGCAGCAGCAGCAGATGCAGATGCAGCAGCAGCAGATGCTGCAGCAGCAGCAGCAGCAGATGCAGGAGGAGAAAGAGGGGAGTACCACCACCTTCAGCAACAGGGGGGAGGGGAGCAAGTAGCTCCATGCGCAGTATTGACGGGTGTTATCAGGTTCACTTCAAGGAGCGAGATGCTTCTATTTCCCGACTCAATCGCTCCATTCGATGCAAATCCGAAGCCTGTCATGACTGCTCATGTGAATCCTGATGCTGCTCTCTCCCTAGTTTCCTCCTCCTTCCCGCTCGTCTATCCTTCTCTCCCTCATCCTCCTTCTCTGCCCTTCCCCTCTGCCTCTGAGCGTGTTGACATCCTTTCAGTGCTTTTGATGAGGACCTTGAAGGGCTTCGATAGACTGAGATGTGACAGAGAGGTTCTATCAATCTCTTCCTCCCCCCCTTTTCCTTTCCCTTCTCCTTTTCCTGCTCCTCCTCCTCGTTCTTTCTCCCTCCCCCTCCCCGCCCCCCTTCCAGTTTCTCTCCCCGGCTCTTCTACTTCCCTGGTTCCCCTCCTCGTTCTTCTCCTTCTCCTCCTCCTCCTCCTCCTCCTCCTTCACTGCTCTTCTCTCCTTCCCTCTCGCTCGTTTCCTCCTCTCACGCAAGCTCATCATAGGGGGGGGCTGGTTTCCTCAATACGTGCATGACTGACCTGCTATGGCCTGCGTACAAAGGATGGGTATGCAACGCTTCTCTGCATTCTGTTTCCTCCTCCTTCACTTGCTCTTGTTCTTCCAGTCTCTCCTCACCTTTCCCTCTGATCTTGCTGTAAACTCTTCACCTCTATCTCCCTCGCTCTCTTCATTCTTCCTACCGTCCTTTCCTTCTCTCCCACCCACCGTCTCTCCCTTCCTCCTTCCCTCTCACTCTGCTTGCTATCGAGTCGGAGAGGAGCTGGAGGAGAAAAGAGGCTGAGGAAGAGGCAGATCGCATCTTGGCTGGACCACCTGGTAGAGTCATTCATCGAGGAGTACGGGATCGAGATCGACGACGAGTCGCGCACGGTAAGGGAGGAGCAGAGGCAGGAGCAGAGGCAGGAGCAGAGGCAGGAGCAGGAGGGCAGGGTGCAGAAGCATGAGGACGAGGACGAGGACGAGGACGAGGACGAGGACGAGGAGGAGAGCAAGGAGGAGAGGGAGGCAAAAAGCAGAATTGCGATAAACTGAAAGAGGAGGAAGGTGTAGTAGGGAGAAAGACATGAGACAAGCTGAGATGCTTTCTAAACTTCAACTTGTTTACGTTATACTGACGAATTTCTTTCTCCTCGGGTTCTCTTCGCTCCTCTCCTCCCTTGCCTCTCCCTTCTCCCTCTGTCAACCTCTCCCTCCTCCTCATCTCCGTCCCTCTCGCTCTCGCTCTCCCTCTCCCTCTTCCTCTCTCTTCGTCTTCCTCTCTCCATCCCCCTCTTCCCCTCTCTTCTTCCTCTTGCCTCCCTCAAAGGTCGGAGACGAGCCCATCAAGTTCAAGAACGTCTTCGGCTCCATGGGAAGGAGCAAACTCCGCAGGACTGTCGAGCTCCAGGTATGCCTCCTCCTCCTGCTATCTTGTCGTCATGTCAACGTAGGAGAACGAGCGATGGGTGGGAAAGTGGTCGCCTCCTCTCAGAACAGGTGCCCAAGTGGGAGGACTGCAGCGGGGAGGAGGGAAGAGGGGAAGGAGGGAGGGAAGGAGGGAAGGAGAGAGGGAGGCAGGCAGGGGAGGTTAGAAGGAAGGATGAACGGAAGGAGAACAGAAATGGAGTGGTAAGAAGAGGAGTAGGAGACGGAAGTAGAGCAGGGCAGCGGGATGAACAGGAAGAGGAGACGAGTCGGAAATTGTAGAAAGGAGGGGAGAGGGCGGCGCCTGCGGCGGAGAGGAGGAGGAGGAGGAAACGGGATGACGTCCTTGGAGCAGGAATTGACCCAAGTCACTTTTGCTACTGGGACCAGGCCAACGCTCCTGACATAAAGGGCATGTACAACGAGACGGTGAAAAGAACAGCAAGAGTAGAGGACGAGGAGGACGAGGAGAACGAAGAGGACGAGGATTGAAAAGCATCAAGCACAGGAAGGGAAGGCGAGGGGGGAAAGCCAGCTGGCAAGGGGGAGAGCAAGAGCGAGAAAAGAGAAAAGCGAAGGCAGGGGAAGTAGTAAGTGGAAGAAGGAAGAGCCCAAAACTGTGATAAGGGAAGAAGATGAAGACAATGAGGACGAGAAAGACAGAGACAAGGCGGAAAAGGAGGGAGAAAGAGGAAGAGGAGAAAAAGGAGGGAGCGATTTTCATCCCCATGTCGCTGACTATGACACAGCTGATTAGCAAGATGAACAAACTGGACGACTTTGTACTCCCAGATGGATGGATTGTAAGTCCTTCCTACCTTGCGGAGAGAAAGAAGGGAGGGGGCAGTAGGAGGAGCAAGAAAGGGAAGAGGAGGGAGGAGGAAAAAGGGAGGGAGGAGGAAGGAGAGAGGAAGGGAGAAGGAAACAAAAGAAGATCAGGAAGAAGGGGCATTGAAAGACGGGAACTGAGGGAGAAAGAAACTACAAGGAATGAGGAAGGAAGGGGGATGGAAGGGGAGGAGGAGGATAAGGTGAAATCTTTGTCAGTGGGATCCAAAGAGCGACTGGGAAGACTCGCCATGGGAGTACAGGTTTTTCCTTCTACTCCTCTTTCTCCTTTCCCTCCTCCTCCTCCTCCTCCTGCTCCTACTGGTCCTCCTCCTCCTGAGACATAGTTTCTCCTCCTCTTCCCTGCCTGTGCAATGACTCAGTTTCGCCTTGGGTAGCTTCAACTTTGTTAGCATGGACCTGCAGAAGGACGTCGTTTGGGTCTCTTTCTGCTACCTCCCCCTCCCGCTCCCCCACCCGCTCCCGCTCCCCCCACCCCTCCCTCTTCCTATTCACTACCTCATCCTCCTTCTCCCCTCCCCCCTCCTCCTATCCACTACCTCCTCCTCCTTTGCTTCGCTTCTCTGCCACTCTCCTTGCCTCACCCTCCTCTTAGATGGAGACGCCGGACAACAAGTGTTTCGTGCGCAGGAAGAAGTGGACTAGGCACATGGTCAGCCTCCCCCCGGAGCAGGATGACAATCACGTCTACGAGCTCTTCGTGACGGCGGAGTGGAGGAGCAAAGCTTACCTGCGTTGCGAGCACAAGCTGCTCAACGCTGCCCTCGAGGACGTGCAGGCCATCATGAACCTCCAGTTCATCTTCGAGTTCCGCAAGCTGAACGAGGAGGAGGACGCGGCCCCTCCGACCGCCAGGTTCCCCAACCTGCAGCGAGTGAGCATGGGGCTGGTGAAGACGCCGGAGTTCGATTGCAAGATCAAGACGACAGGAGGAAACATTCTTGCGATCCCTGGCCTGGGGAAGGCGATCAACAAGACCTTCCTCGGATCCCTCGTTATGAATGTCTTCACACCTCCCATGCTTCTGTGGGACGCGGACTCGTGGCGAGCAGACGCTCGGAGGAGGGAGAAGGCGCTTGCCATGGGGACCGAGGCGCTGAGGAAGAAGAAGGTAAGCGAGCGGAAGGAGGGAGGATGGAAGACTTGCGGGGAGAAAATCAGGGGAAAGAGAGGAGGGAGAACTGAAGAGGGAGGATGAAGGAGGTAAAAGAGAGGGGAGGGGAAGAGAGGGGAGGGGAAGAGAGGGGAGGGGAAGAGAGGAGGGGCGGATAAGAGAAGTTAGGAGGGTATCGAGTATTGATACATTATACCGCAGGGGTTTCTTGTTGTCAACGCCATCGAAGCTTTCGTCGAGACCGGCTCCTCTGTCGCTCCAACAATGAGCGTTGACGGAGGTGCAGGAGGGCACTGGAAGACGGGGAGGAAGGGGAAGTGGAGCCTGCATCTGTTCATGCCGTGCGAGGACGGCAAGAGAAACTCAATGGCTGCCTGCAGCAGGTGGACAACACCCATCAAGATCTCGAGCAAGGCCCCGTCGTCCTACTGGAACGAAAGGTCGACCTTCGTGAGGGACAGCGGGCCCTGCGAGCTCCAGGTGGAGGTCTGGAACAGCACGGGCGAGTCGGCGAAGGAGGAGCTTCAGGACAAGTGGGAAAGGATCGTCACGATGCGCTACTCGGCAGCTGGGGAGGAGGAGGAAGGGGAGGAGGAGAGCCAGGGCAGGAGCTCCCTTGCTACCTACAACCTCACCAGCAAAGACTCCAACCTCGTCGTTCATCTCACCTTGCAGCACCTGCGCATGCGCGTCCAGCCCCTCCCCGGCATCCGGGTCGGCACCCCCCTCCCCTCCTCGCCCTTCTTCCGGCAGTCAGGAGGCTGCATCCTCGTCGCGCCCCTGTCCTTCCACCGGATCCCCACGTGGGGCAAGAGCGCGCCAGAGCAAGTCAAGATGCGGGTGGCGCTGTGCGTGAGGGAGAACTCATCGGAGACGCTAGAGGAGAGGACGAGCAGCATGGTCAAGAAGAACTCCTCGAGCAGCGGGAGCAACGTGGAGGGGAGCTTCTTCAACCCCACATGGACCACGGGAGAGGTGATGGCCTTCTCGCACCTGACATACCCGTGCAGTCAGTTGCGGCTGAGAGTTGAGATGCTCGGGTTCGATTCCAGCGAGGAGCTAGTCTCCTCCTCCCAGATCTTCCTGTCTCTGAGCCACCTAGTCGCCGTCAACCAGCAGCTGCAGGCCCCGGCCCCCTCTCCCGGGGGGGATGCGAAGGAGGAAGGAAACAGGGAAGAGGACGCATTCCTCTTCTGCTCGGCCGCCGAGTCCATCGAGTTCCCGATGCATGTGGACGCGAGGCTCAAGGACTGGCAACGCCAGCTCGTCTCTCTCCTCGTCACCTACCAGCCCATGGCGAGCCTCTCCAGCTCCTTCTGCATCCGCCTGCTGAGACTGGAGCTGGGCAACAGCAGGAGGGACTCGGACTCGGACTGGCAGCTGACCATCGCCTTCGGCCCGGAGGCAAACCTGTGGAGGAGCAAGAGCAAGTCGCGCAGGTTCAGGACGTGGACTTCTGGCAACCCCATCCTCCACCAGGACAAGGCAATGTGGATCGGAGCCAGGTTCGTCTCCTTCGACCTTGCTGGGGAGGTCTCGGGCAAGGACTCAGCTGCCTTCACCTCCGACGAGTGGATAGTGTTCTCCCTCTCGCACCGAGGCAAGCCTGTCGCTGACCGCCTCCTCAAGTTTGCCGAGTTCGTCGCCGTGTGTTGCGGTGCCGGAGGCCATGGCTCGGCCTCCTCCTCCCTGCCGTCCGCGTCCTTGCTCTGCTCCAGCCTCTCCAATCCCATCCTCGTCACTCTCGAGCTCCCTCACTCGTCCAACGACCTGGACGGGCCCATTCGGATAGTCTTCGAGGCGATCTTCTCCTTCGGCGGCGGCTCTTACTAGAGCCCGGGCCGAGTCCGACGGTCGGGAGTCTCGAGTGCCTGACAGTGTCAGTGTGGCACCGGGGCCGCCCGTGCAGTGACGCCGTTTTGTAGTGGGTAAACGGTTGTAGGGGAACTTGGAACTGAATCACGGAGTTTGTGAACTTTGTTCGCTGTGAAATGCTTCAGGTGTGATCTATGCCAGTCTTTGCTAGTGCTAGAGCTATCAAAATGGTGAGGTTCTATAGCTGAGGTCACTAGTACACTGACTGGCAGTACCTGCGCCCATATCAAGGCACTATATCGAGTCGGATATTGTACCAGTAACTTTTTACTCAAAGATAAGTTAAAAATCAGTACATCAGTACCTCTTCTGACACCCTTCAAAAGGCTCAACTTGTATCTGTTGAACTCTAGTGTGTTCATTTACTAAACAATCTGTACCATATATGAACACTGGTACTAATATTAATAATTAATACTGACCACTGGTACCATATTAATAATTAATACTGGTCACTGGTACTATTATGAAGATACAAATCGGTCCGGTGGGAAGGTCAACTTATTAACGAAAGCGGTGTCCGGGGTGAGTTTTTTCCTTCACATGTACAACGCCCCGTCGCAAGCCGGTTCATCGCCGCCGCCATGTCCTACACAAGGATCCAAGTGTTCCCGAGGAGGAGGGGTCAGAATTGTGACCACAAGAATGGCCCCTTCTTCCTCTCAACCCTCGACCTCCACCGCTTGTTCCACCTCTCCCTCCAAGACGCCGCCAACCACCTGGTAAACTCCTCTCACTCGCACGAGCACTCCTGGTCTGACAAGAAGCGCTGTGTCAGGACATATCGCTAACGGCCATGAAGAACGCCTGCAAGAGACTAGGTGTGCGATGGCCCTGCAGGCAAGCCCGTCTCAACCTCCTCGAGGAGACCAGGGAGGTGCAGGCACTCGAGGGCCTGTGGTCATGTAGCCCTTGGAGCGGCAACACCGCAAACGCGAAGCTGGAGGGCATGGGAGGAGAGGCAGAAGCGAGCTCGAGAGCAAATGACCCCCAACACACTTCGAGCACCATTGGCCTAGCCCAAGCTAGAGAGCTAGCGCAGCACGCGGCCGTGCCAGACGAGCAACAAGTTGTGGACCCTCTGCTGCTTTTCCTTGGACCTGTCAGCCCATCATGGGAGGCAGAAGAAGAGGGAGCGGCTGCAAGCAGAGAGAGCGACGGATATTCGCTGGAGGATGAAGAGCCGAGCCAGCAGCTACAAGGAGGAGCCCCAGCACCCCCCCACCCCCCCACCTCCAGCACACATGCCTCCCGATACCCTCAGCCATGGAAGGATCAGCTCCAACAAGCAAGGGAGGGAGGGCAGCAGGCAACTCATGACAGCAGCCAGCTCGATGCTCCTGCGTGCTCTGAGATCAAGCCTGCTAGCTTTCCGACTTGGCACCACGAGGAGCCACCAAGAGGATCTGGGCGCACTGCCCGCATCCCCAAGAGCAGCATGTAGCTTGGTGCGGTGGGAAACCTCAATGTAGTAGGAACGAAGCTCAACATCAAGCGCAAGGGGCTTGAGGAGAAAGGACGAGTCCGTTGCTAGAGCGTCAGCTCGCAAGGTTGGCCTGTACATCGGAGAACAGTCGCATCCTTGCTTGAGTACATAGATCACAGAGAGAGAGAGAGAGAGAGAGAGAGAGAGAGAGAGAGAGAGAGAGAGAGAGAGAGAGAGAGAGAGAGAGAGAGAGAGAGAGAGAGAGAGAGAGAGAGAGAGAGAGAGCTGCTGGGCATGAGAATGAAGCAGGATTGATGCCATCACAACAAGCGAGCCCTTCATACCGACATGACCTGACGACCTCGCGTAAATGACAAAGATCCAACAAGTAAATCTGTTTATAATCCAAGAACGTCGCTGAGCTTTAGCTTCCCGATGGCAGCAAGCTCTCCTGCCAATTTCGATGAGAGGAGAAATTCACTAACCAAGTACACACCGTCTTCTGTAACTCGGAGTCTCGGCATTCCAGCCTGCTGCAGCGTCCCGTCTCGGTATCTGTGCTCGTAGAAGCAACTGCAGTGCGAGCTCAGCGATAGGCAGCGGCAAAGCATGAAAGGCTAGTAACAAGAGGATTGACGGACATGTGACAGGAGGGAAGAAAGAGAGAAAGAGAAAAAGGGTTGTTTTCTGGGAAGAGGTCAATGTTGTGAAGTGTAGAGAGTTGCTGAAGATGGATGAAAACGAGGAGGTAGGAGTGGTGGTGTTGATGATCACCACAATCACAGAAGAAATTATCGCGATGATGATACTGGTGATGATAATGGTGATGATGGTGGTGATGACGATGACGATGACGATGACGATGACGACGATGATGATGTCAATATACAGAAACGATCAGATGAAAGGAGAGGGGAAACACAGGAGGACAAGAAGGACAACGGCCATCAATTCAAAGTAACTGTGATTGTGTTGGTGATGATGCTGACAGCGTTGGTAGTGAGGACGGAGATGGAGATGATTGTGGCGGCTAGCTGGATGTTTCAAGAACGAATGGGAAGAAAAAGGCAAGATGTCGTTGGAAGTATTGGTGGTAGGGGAGGTGGTATGGACATAGCGGGGACGACCCTTACCTGGTTCCGAACGGACATTCACCGGCTCCGAAGTTGAAGTGCTTGCAAGGAATCTTCTGGAGGCGCTCCCTGTAGCTCGCTACCACCGAGTCCTTCTCTTCCTGGTTGCGAGGGAAAAAGCTGCTCGGAATCACATAGAAGGAAACGCAACGACAGAGGGGACAAGATCGCTTCACGTTCTTCTCCAGAATGTTGACCGACCTCCATTCTCTGATGCAGCTGAGACAAAAGATATGATCACACCCCTCAAGCAGTCCAAACTGGCTCTGCTTGCCCACAACCGTCTCCATGCAGATCCCGCACTCCTTGCTGGTAGAGGCCATGATTTGTTCTCGTAGCAACCTCCTCTTTGCAAGATCTTCATCGGTCAGCAAGTCCTGGCTGCCCGCAACGATCGAAGAAGCATCGATCTCGGCATCGTTTAGGCCTCGTCGTGCAAACGCTGCATAGCTGAAACCATCTGGTAAAGAAGATCCAGCCTCCAGCGTGTTTGTTTCATCGTCGTCTGTTATTCCTATCAGAAAGCTTTCAGTTTCATAAGTCAGATCGTCTTCTGCATCTCCCAATGTGTTTTTATATGCTGAACATCCTTCCAGCTCGTCCGATCTCAGGGAGGCCTTAGCATGCACCGCATACCCCTCCGTGGGCTTCGGAATGAAGGCAACAGGAGCTGGTTTGGAGGCGGCCGGCTTCTTCTTCTTGACGATGAAGTGAGCATAAGGGCACGCGTCTCCTGCCACACATCCCCCGGTCTGAAAGAACTTGCATGGTGCCTTGCCCAGCACGTCCTTCTGCTGCAGGTACCTGGGGTCATGCGAGAACCGGCATGCTCTACCGGCGTTGCATCGTCCTTGGATGAAGAAACGGCAAGGAGGAGCCGTGTCCTGACCTGTGGCACTCTTCTCCATCCTACTCTAGCTGTGTATCGGCGGCGTTGGCAAAGATCGAGTGATAGGCCCTGACGCGGTTTGAGCGACAGACTGGACGCGCAGAGCAGAGAGGGAGTGGGCGGGGGGAGGGTGCAAGTTGAGTCAGGAATAGAAGAGATAGAGATCAGAAGAGGTCTGGTCTTACAGCAGAGGGAGGGGAGACGCAGGTTGGCAGGAAGGCACGAGAGGAGGGCAGGAGGGAGAAGGGAGGGAGCGGAGGGGAGCGGATGGGGGAAGGACCTGGCACGTTGGCAGGAGCAAGGAAGCAGTCCGCCTCAGAGTTTACTTTCAGTCTTCAACTGCGAAATCAGAGCCGGGAAGTCCGGTAAGCCCGGCCGAGAATAGGACCCCCCTTTATAATGCTTTGCTCGGTACAAACACACCCACCCCAATCTATTGAAGTGCTGTACCAACTCCTCTCTTGTTTATTACATATTCTATAATTTGAACTGAAATTTAAATACTATTAATTCTTTCACTATACATGGTACATGTAATTCCATTTGTAATTCCATTGGAGCAAGTTAGAAATCTAGTACAAATTATAATATGTTTTAATTAAATCTACAGAAAAGTTAATAATATGTTTTAAACCCGCGGTCAGTTCAAATGCTACCTTTTGCTGGAGAGGGGGGTGGGTGGATTTTCATGGTGAGGGGGTACAATCGGAAGGAGGTGGTACGACCACCGGTACGATGAATTGAAGATCTCTACCACCGTTCTCGGTAAATTCGCAGATCCTTCGAAGACTGGGGGTGCCCCTACCCACCCCTGGGAGGCCTTGACGGCAGACCGCAGCCGACAAATGAATTAGTGGAGATGGCAGGCAGGACCGAGGAGTCTCATGCACCAGCAATGTTGGTGGGAGGAGAGGGAATGCACAAGACAAGGAGAGCTCGCAAGATCGTCTTAAACATAAGAGAGATGCGCTCTAGATTGTTCTGAGTGAAAGGTCTTTTTCTTCCGTAACTGCTAAGCAATTCGAATGGTACTGAGAGATCTTGTTGAGGCGATGAGAGCGTCAGGAACTTTTAGGGTTGAAGGGGACGATGGTTTGATGATAGCAATCTATGAGAACTCTTCCCGAATTTCGGATAGCTGCAGACGTTATCACTTGGATCTTAACACGCTTTCTCCATGCAGTATGTCCGACACTTCCTTGCAGCATTGGCGAGAGGGTGTCGGCGCCTACAATGCTGGAGACGTGAAGAAAGGTTTTGCCTGTGCGAGATGGTTCAGCCTACTGACATCATTGAAGCTATTCAAGAGTTCAAGGCCGCGGTGCCATCCAAGGGAATCTTATTCAACCTGGGGGTATCCACTGCAAAGGTACCGAGGGCTGTAGGGCGGGATGCACACCTTGACTATGAAATCAGCTCGGTGACAACCAGGCGGCCATACGGCACTTTGATGAAGTCATCCGCCTGGATCCTAACCTAGCTGTTGCCTACCTCACCAGGTCAGATCTCTTTCGAACCAGCAGTTGCCCTCAACCACTTGTACGTCAGAGGGGCATGTAAGCACCATGAGCGCCTCTTCAACGAGGCTATTGCAGATTACGATCGAGCGATCTCGCTGATCTCCAACGGGTAGCTCATGCAGAGGAGCATGCGTCCTCCTCTAATCAACTGGCAACAGATCCTTATCGTTGGACTACAGTGGTGACGGTCTGCAATTCGAAATGAATCGGGTAGGCGAGGATAAAACCGTTGTCGGGGCTTGTACTGATCTAGTCATCACATCAGGTAGACTTGCTCTTCAACCGAGCCCTTGCCTTGAAGGAGATGGGGCGCATTCAGGAGGTATCGAACCTGATATCATGAAACGACAAGATACCATCGATAGCATTGTTAGCTCACTCATCAAAAGGCGCAAGAGGATGTGTCGCGTGCAAAGAAGATGATCGACCAGAGGACGAAGAACAGGTTAGGCACATGCCACAGTTGCCATGGCGTGCGCGACATCGGCTGATGCGTTTCTGCCTGGCAGACAGCCTGCGATCGAGAAGCTCAGCAATCAGTTGGAGAAACTTTCATTGAATGCTGGGGTGTGCCGAACATGGGGCAGAGGAAGAAATTTTTTCTGACTGTGATATGCTCAGAACAATGCTGCCCCAGCCCCTTCAAGTCACATGCCGCAACAGAGCATGCCGGGATCGACTTCGAATGGTGTCCCAGTGTCCTTGCAAATTCCTTTCTCCCAGGTGCGACGCGCCTTGTTGTGCATTTTTACAGCTCACAGAGTCCTTGATCAGCCACCCCCACAAGCGTATTCAACTCCAGCCGCACCTGAGAAGCAGGCGACTGTATGCCTGCTGGCCTGTCTTCGCCCTAGTAACCAGTAAGCAGCATGCCGCCCCTACACAGGTATCGATTCCTGTCCCAGCCCCAGCTCCTGCCTCGGTCCCAGCTCCTGCCCCAGCACCGCCAGCACCAGCACCCAGGTACTTGACCGGAGATTCTGTTCATGCGGTGAGATCTTGGATGGGCAGCTCTACAGAGAGCAAGTCCAGTGGCGCGAAGGGAATATTCTCCCTCGAACAACTCACAGGACACCCCCCGTTCCCTGATGGAGTGGATCCAACCAAAAGAGAGATGTACCTGTCGGATGAACAATTCCAGCAGGTTTGGTCGGAACTTGTTGGAGATCAAACTCAAAACTCTTTGTCAGGTGTTTGGCTGCTCGAAGGCTGATTTCCAGGGTATGCCGCAATGGAAGCGCGACGTAAGACTGATGACACATTGTTATCCCATGACGATGCGAACAGTTGCTCAAGAAGAAGAAGGGTCTTTTCTAAAACTGCCTCGAGCGCTTCCCTAGCAGCAGGTAGTTGCTGCTCTTCACTCCTGAACATACTACAACTCGACTCTCCTCTTGCTCGCCTAGAGTGTGACCTCCGTCATGGTGTGATGCTGTTATCTGGTTTGGTTTGGAAAACCCGTAGCTATTTTACTTCATTGAACTTACATAAACTTTATACACTTTTGAAACGCCAGCCTGGACCGGAGAACTCAGTGTGGCGGCAAGCAGCTGGGCTGGACGGCATAGAGCTGCAGTGCGGCGCCGGGCGGCCCCCGGGCCCGGCGTGTGACTGCGGCATCCTTGGACCCAACCGGCGGCCCCAGCCTTTACTCAAAGTTACTTAAGGTAAAAAGCCCACCCTCAGTATTCTTTACTCAAAGTTAAGTTAAAAATCAGTACAAAAGTATTCAGTTGGCTGGCCGGCAGGCTTTACCGACACCGTTACATACGGTTACATCGGTTGACGAAGAGATGAGATAAAGTCTACCCCAGTGCGGCGGTTAGCCGCGGCTGTCAAATGCAGTGAGCGAGAGGTAGGAAGACCCTTCCTCAAGGCTCCCTGCTCCAGAGGACTCCTCCTCCTCCTCCTCCTCCCCATCATCATCATCATCATCATCATCATCATCATCATCATCATCAGCTTTCTCATCTTCCTCCTGCAATCCCCGGTCATCCGCTCCACCTCGACCCCTCAAGCCCCTCTACCAACCTCATTGCAACTGTCTACATTCTTTGCTTGCTCCGACCGTGCCAGTCCCTTCACCATGACGCCTCCTCCTACCATAATCAAGTTATGATCTTGAGCCATTTCCAATCTGTAGTTGAACTTGGGATTGCTGTCGAAGAGTGGTTGCTCGCGCATAGCTGAAGGGTTGCTTTGTAGGCGTTGAAAAGGAGCTGGTAAGAACGCAAGAGCCATGAGCGCGCCTCAAGGTACTTTGAAGCCTGACTCCTGACGTTCAAGTGATAAGTTTTCGCCTTCAGAGGACCCAGCATTCATCAACGAGACCAAGGAGAAATGGAACCGCGTCAGGAATTCAGCTATCACCTTCTTGGCACTCAGGACAGAAAAATATCTCGCACTGAAACAAGCTCGACGAGCTCGACTTGTGGAATGTGTCTTGTACATCGGTTTCACCATCATCTTCTCCTACGTCATCATAGCAGCTCGAGACACCTCCAAGGCTTTCAACCATGCACAAGGAGTCAGAGAATATCTCATAGGGACTGAAATCCCTTCGCTCCCTGGCAAGACGTTCGATACTGTTGCAACCATATCCGAGCTCTGGTTCTGGATCAATGAAGTACTTGTGGAGAGGGTCATTTGGTCCCAGGGGAACGACCTCAGGTACCCGATCCTGGGGAACAACCAGTTCATCGGCCCCATTCGCATCCGACAGGCTCGGGTGATGGAACTTCAGTGCAAGATGCCACCGGCCCTGGCGTACCGGGGTTCGAACTGCTACAACGAATACTCAGACGCTACCATGGAGAGGAGGAAGAATCCTCCAGGGACCTCGTGGCCGCTGTATGGAGAGTGCGCAAGGATGTCACCGACTCTGACGGACTGTCGCAACTGGACTTCGTACAACCCCGGGTACGGGTGGGTGCCTATCGACTCGTTTGCTGGGACAACGTACGGGGGTGGAGGGTACGAGGTCGAGTTGCCAGTCAGGAAGTCGGACACACTGCTGCTCCTGAAAGACATGCAGAAATATGAGTGGCTGAATGACAACTTCACGAGGGCTGTGTTCTTTGAGTTCGTCCTGTACAACCCCAACTCCAACTTGTTCCTCAGCACCCTGCTGGCTGTTGAAATCCCGCCGAGTGGTGGGATGGTTCCTTCCACAGCCTTGCGCGTGGTCGACCTCTATCCTCAAGGTCGCAAGAGCTCGCAGGTACGAAGAGACCCGACGGCATCCATTCTTCTCATCCTTTCTGCAGCAAGCGACGGCGCTCTTCTACCTTGTTTTCGGCATGGTGATCGTGATGACCGTAGCAGAGATCCTTATGGTCCTCAAGCACGGGAGGGACTTTCTCAAGGACGGCTACAACCTCATCACAGTCATCAACATCATCTTCTTCTTCATCGTTTACATCCTTGACCTCAACTCCCTTACGACTTCCTCCAAGATTCTGTCCAAGACTTCCAACGTGGTAAGACCCGCCGGTTCTCTCATCGCAAACTTGTGATGAAGCAAAACAGAACGACCCTGCAATTGCGGTGAAGATCCACCAGACCGCCTACATTGCAAAGCTCGTCTACAACTTCAACGCTTTCAACGCTTTCTTGGCCTGGTTGAGATGCTTGAAGGTAACCCTTCCCTCCTTCCTTTCTTTGTTTCCTCCTCCCTCCTCTTCTTCCTTTCCTCCTCTCTTCTTCATTGCCTTCCCTCGTTCCTTCTCTTCTCTTCACTCTCTTCTTTTCCTTCCCTCTCTCTCCTCCTCTCTCCCCCACCTAGCTCCTCTTCTCCTGACTGCACCCTAACAGTACATGGACCTTATCTCTGACCGCACTGAGAGGATCACTGCTACGCTCTCTGCATGCGCCTCCAGGTCCCCCTGAGCTTTGCCAGTCGCCTCCTCTGACCTTCCTTGACCCTCAGCGTCGCTGCCCTTCTCGTCATCTTCGGCATCTTCTACGGTCTGCCCTGGCTGCCCCTCCCCTACTCCTCTTGACTTTCACTCCCAGCCGGCTTCTCCATCGCCTTCTTTGCCGCCTTCGGGCAGGACCTCTACCGCTTCCGCACCATGGGCATGACATGCCTTTCCCTCTTCGACATCCTGATGGGAGGAGGGAATTTACAAGAACTTGTCCAGTACAACAAGGTGAGATGCCCGCAACTCGGGCTCACCCCTGACGAGAATGATCAGGTGCTGGGGCCTCTTCTCTTTGTCAGCTTCGTCGTGCTCATGGCTCTGGTCCTCCTCAACATGTTCCTCGCCATCATCGTGCAGACCTACAGGTCTGAAGAGCCTCTGCTGTATCAAGAGGCTGGTGCGTGACAAGTGTGGCTATAGCCATGTTTGTGAGAGGATGGAGAAAGATCAGTCGGAAGTTTCGTCGTCGGTAAACAAGCTCTGCTCCTCATCTCGCCCCCTTCTTTTATCCTCTGCGCTTGCCTTCTCCTCGTTTCTTCACGTCCCATGTTCCTCCCCTCCCCTACTCTGCCTCTCCTCCCCTCTCCTCCCCTCTCCTCCCCTCCCCTCCCCCTCTTCTTCTCCCTCCTCTTCTCGTCCCCCCCTCCCCTACCCTCCCCTACCCTCATCTAAGCTGTCTCCTACTTCAGGTCCGATGGGTAGCAAGAAAGGGCGCCAGGAGCTTGCTCAAGATGATCTTCGGAAGCGGCAAGAAGAAGAACGTCGTCGAGAAACAGAAGGTCTCGTGACTCGCGCGCTCATTTGCGGAGGGTCACATGATTCTCTGCTCTAGGACGACTCGCTCCTCAACGAGTCGGAGCTCCGCATCATCTGGGAGACAGACCACGACGCGTTCGAGGTCGGGGACATGTGCTTCCCTCGAGGAGGAGGATAGGCGAGAGGGGGGGAGACGGTGGAGGGCAGGAGGTAGTGGCGGAGAGAAGGAGGTAGTAGCAGAGAGAAGGAGGAGGAGGAGGAGGAGGAGGAGGTGTTTGACATTGTTCCTAACAGGTCATGGGCATCTCGCGGTTGTCACAATTCCTGGACATTGCGGACACAACAGGAGAGAACGAGATGGTCAGCCAACTAAGCTCCTCCCTCCTCCCTCCTCCCTCCTCCCTCCTCCCTCCTCCCTCCTCCCTCCTCCCTCCTCCCTCCTCCACTCCCGTGCTCACATGAGCTTGCAGGAGCTCTCGGCAGTCCAGGATCACGACAAGAAGCTGGACGGCAACCAGGACCAGGGCACCAACGAGGAGGTGGAGGGAAGCGCTGGGGCAACCTCGTCCTGACGCATGCATGGCAGATCTCGCACCTGCTGATGAAGCTGCTGGAGAGGACAAGCGCGGTCATGCTCGAGCAGAAGAAGCTCCGAGGAATCGTGGAAGGCTCCCGCCCGACCTCCCGGGTGGCGAACGCGAAACCATGAGGGTCGGAATCGAGCTTGAACGCTGCTGTCATCATTGCCACACTATGATGATGACGTTGACGATGATGATGTTGTTGATGTTCTTGTCGTCGTTATTGTCATCATGCACACAACATACCAAGGCTCCACAAGTGAGGCCAGCTCCTGTCTTCGAGGGATCGCATGAGAATCTCTTGTACGTTGTTGTGATCTTAGCGAGTTCACTCTGTATAACTTGAAATAACTTACTCGTTACCTACTCCCTCCTCTGTGTATGAAACTGTATATCGCCCTCTCCCTCCTCCCCCCCCTTGCAATCGTCGGCTATCATTGTATCTCTTACCTCCTCCTCCTCCTCCTCCTGTTGCTGCCATTCTTCTCCCCTCAAAGCTCTCCATCTTCATCTCTTTCACACCCTCACACGTTGAGGACGAGATATAACGCGGCTCTTTCAGCTTCCCTCCCTTCCTCCCCTCCCTTCCTTGTCCTCCTCCCTTCTCCTCCTCTCCTCATCCATCCGTCGTCTCCCTTACAGCGCGTCTCGAAGAGACTTCATCGCGGACAATTGATTGTTGGCGTCTCGGATGATTTTCTCCCCGGCGCTGACAAGGCTGAGGCAGTCGGGCTGATAAACATCGAGTGAGGTCAAATAAAAACGGGCAAGCCTCTACCTCCATAAGGGTCTCTAGCTTCTTGCTACCATCAGAGTCCCTCAAAGACGCCAACCCAAACAGACCGATCTTCTCTGTTGAGGTCAACTGCAAACGAGTCAAACTATTGGCACTCGTGAACGTAATTGTCATCGTCAGCACCACAACCCTCGTCATCGTGGTTGTCATCATCATCATCAACATCATCATCATCAACATCATCATCATCATCATCAACATCATCATCATCATCATCATCATCATCATCATCATCATCATCTCTATCATCTCATTACCACCACCATCACCACAATAACCATCATTTCCATTCACAACAACAGCTGCTGCTGCACCTCTTGCCCCTCCTCCTCCAACAGGCTGCAAATCCAGCATGCATCTTCCACAACCGACACGCTCTGTAGCTCTGCCCTCCTCTCATCTCCTTCTCCAGCTTCACCCCTGCCCCAACACAGACTCAGCAGACATATGGAGGACGCAAACTCTACCTTGAGTCCAGCGAAAGCTCGCTTCTCAGCCTCTTGCAGTTGTTGAGAGCATCGAGTAGCGAGGGGTCGACTTGACTGTCCTCTCCCTGCGTTATCATGACCGTGTCTGTGGTGTTGGCAGCAAGGAAAGGCTCCTTCTGAAACACTTCATGAACGCGGACCCTCCTGCAAGGTACGATGGTAACCATGACATCAAAGTTTGCAAACAACACAATAACATTTCTGACAAAACATTCATCACAACCATCTCGAACATTTCTCCACACACGTGATCACCGTCCAAACTTCTGTACATTGATGATAAAGTCAAAGACATCACATAGACAAACACTCTCATCTCGGTACAACAACCCTCCTCCTCACCTCAGCCCAGCAACTTCGGCCCTGATGCTGTCAGATCGCTCTCCATACTTGTTGCGATGAATACTCGGAGACGTCGACAGTACCTTGAGAAGAACTCCGAACTCACACAGTGCGAATCTTCTCTCCGCCTGCCACGTCACCTTTGTCAGCCTCTCAGCAGGAGCAGGACAAGATAACGAACGAGTGCAGCTGGGTCGACGACAACATGGCACAAGTAGCCGTCCTTGACCCTCATCGCTGTGTTGAGCACCTCAATGTTGTTCTGATCGTAGACGTGGATCTGTTTCTTCTGCCCGGGGAGGATGAGCCGGTCCGGCAGCACGGAGATGCAGGGCATGGCAGCTGACAAACAATCATCGTCATGCTCCCTGTCAGTTCCCTCTCTTGCTCGGACCTGAAGGGAGGGTGTTTTCCCTCTTGCTCGGTCGGAGGGAAATGCTCACCTCGTCGCTGTCTCCCGTGCAGCAGCGAGTAGTCACCCTTGTGCTTGCTGTCCTGCAAGTGTAAGGTCGCCGCCCGGCAGATGGACCAGTAGCGGGCAGGGAGTTCAACACGAAGCTGTCCGTCATCTCTGAGAAGAAGGCGGCAAGGACCAGAGATGAGACGGGCAATCGGCAGTGCGGCATGGTGGAAATAACGTTGAAGGGCCTGTTTGCTGGGGGGAATAAAAGTCAATGCTAGGAAGGGCTTAATATACCGCCTTAATACTCCTCATCTCTTTCGTGCTCTCCTCCTTCCCTCTTGGGTTTTCATCTATCTTCTCAACTTCTCCTCCCCTCTCCCTTCACTCCCTCCACTCCATTCCGACTTCCTATCCTTCCTATCCTTCCTTTCCTCTCCTCTACCTCCTCTACCTCCTCTACCTCCTCTACCTCCTCTACCTCCTCTACCTCCTCTACCTCTCTACCTCTCTCCTCCTCTCCTCCTCTCCTCTCTTCGTCTCCTCCATTGGGTTAGGACGCTCCTGCAACATGCCTTTCCTCACCCCCCACCCCTTCAAACTTTGACCCTACCCTTCAAATTTCATTCAGACTACCCACATTCTTCCAGGATCCAATTAACCCCCCACCCCTCTTTGCAAGGGGAGTCGGGGCACATGAAGAAGGGATACAAGTGAATGAGGGGGATGAAATTTTCCTCCAGCATCACAAACATGCTTACGCTAGCACGGCTCCTGGCGGTGGGGATGGTGGGGAGGCTGAGCGGAGGAGGAATGAACATGGCGATGGCGGATCGTTGCTCCATCGAGGATGCCGTAGGAATGAGGGCAGTCAACGCCATGAAAGGAGCGTTTGTTGCCGATGCAGCGTCGATGGGCCTGCATTGGATCTACGACGCAAACAAGATTAAAGAGCTGACTGGCAAGGATGGCGCCCAGCAGAAAGACGCTGCCTTCTTCGAGCCTCCTAGCTGTCCGTTCTATAGCTACAAGTCCGGTCAGTTCAGCCCCTACGGAGCAGAGTGTATGGGCGTGCTGCAAGGCTTGACCTCTGTTGAGCCTTTTGATCCTCAAACGTTTTCCGAAGGATATGCCAAGTACCTCAAGGCGTATTCAGGAAGGCTGAATCATGCTAGCAAAGAGCTCATTGCGAACATAGAGCAGGGCAAGAAATTTCCTGCATGTGGAGCCGACGACGCGCAAGCAAACTCGTTGGTCAAGGTCCCTGTGGCCGTCGCGAGGTTTCTGGGCGAAGACAACTGGCCAGCGAGGGTGGAGGAGGTGATCCGATCTCACCAGAACAACGACGTTGCCGTGATGTATGGCATCGCAAGCGCTCACATACTGCATCGTATCCTCACGACAGGGGGCACTCCCAGGGAAGCCGTAGAGTGGGCCTCCAACGACTCGTCCCCGCTTGCTAACGAGGCGCGGCTGAAGCTGCGGGAAGCCATAAGCTATGCTGCTGCTCACGACGCAGTCGAGGCTGCCTCCCACTGGGGCAGCAGCTGCCGGCTCCCTGGCGCGTTCCTCGTCTCCGTCCACGTGATGCTCAACTCCAAGACGTACCAAGAAGCGATCCGCACAAACATCATGGCGAGTGGCGATCAGTGTTCCCGTGGGTGCTTCATAGGAGCTTGCATGGCTGCAGCTAGTGGAGGCGAATCCATCCCCCCATCCTGGGTGGTAAAGGTGGATGATTTTGACGATGTTGCAAACCTCTCCGACAAGCTCATGAAGTGCGGGAAGGCGCACTAGTGAGGGGGGACGAGAACTTTGACGACTGCATTAGCTGTGTAGGCTGTGAGTGGACTTGTTGTAAAGCGACATGTAGAATGTTGTCTCGGGAATCCGTTAAACTCTTGGACAACTTCTTGGACAGGGCCCTCAGGTCGTTGAACCCCGGCTGATTGTGCCCACGTTTTTCATCAGTCGCTCAATCGAATCTTGTACAATCGCTCAACAACCTTGAAACGATAAGTGGACATGGAGAACTACATGTATAGAGCGCTCCTTGGTTCCACCATGTTCTTGGTACTGTTGTCGTGGGCCAGCCTTTCACCCATTATACGTGTCCTGGCCCTTACATCAACTATTTACAATCATACGTAGACCTTTCGAATCTTGAACCATACTTTCAATTGGCATTGGAATTTACTCGTATCACTATTTTACATGCTAGTCTACAAATTTTCTGGTCGGCCAAGTTTCCGGCTCGTTAGTTTCCTCGTCGTGGAATGCTTGGCAGCTCCGCAAGCTCGCCTAGGTGCCTCTGCTCCATCCTCTTCTGCACCAGCGCGATGGAGTTAGCCAGGCACGAGAGTCTCCGTCGCTTGTCCAGGGAGAAGCTCTTCCATGTCTCGGGGCTGAGGCTGAAGGGGGGCGGGGGAGGGCAGGAGGAGCAGGAGGAGCAGGAGGAGCAGGAGGAGCAGGAGGAGCAGGAGGAGCAGGAGGAGCAGGAGGAGCAGGAAGGAGTGTCGAGCATGGGCGATGGATGTCGACCGTCGGAGTCACTACAGGAGAGAAAAAGGGTCAGGATGCCCGTAGTAAACTGAAACTCTATCCGGAAGAAACGTTGCTTGTTTGGGACTTGCCCACGTGCCTGGAGGACTGTCAGCAACAGAGTCATGTGACTCCAGCCTTACAGACAGCCTCACTCAATCTTCAACGGTTCCAGAATGCCGGGCGGCCAGAGGCCGGCAGGCAGTACTCAGTGAGTAGCAAAAAGCAACAGCACTGTGTACACTTAACTTGGCAAGGCCTAGTCAATTCAAGTTTCTATAGTAGCAAGTTGGCGCGGCCGCCCGGCACTGTCCGCAAGCCGCTTGCGGACAAGCCTGAACTTTCGAACCCGGGCCCGGGTTCGAAAGTTCTTTACGCAAGCCCGGCTGTAGTTCAACACCGGGTCGTTCACAGGCTGCGGCCCGGGTCACGGGTTCAACGGGTGACTGCCGTTTGGCCTGTGCGACTCAGTGTCACGAGTCAGGGTCAAGCCTCCTCGGGCCTCAGATGATGACGATCGGACTCTCCTGATTGTCCTCGTCACTGATTTTGAACTTAAGTTGGCCGCCACCGCCGGGCTCCGGGGACGGTCCCGCCCCGGCGGCCGCGGCGCAGCCGGCGGGCCGGGCCCGGGCCGGGCAGCGACCCGCGGCGGGCCGGCCGCGGTCCGATCGGGTCACAGTCAGGGTGACGGGCCGGCACCGTGCCCGGCAACGGCCGCGGGCGTGACTTGCCGCCCGGCGGCGTTCGGAGTCCGAAGTTCAAGACCGTCCGACGGTTTCGGAACTAGCCTGGCATAGCTCCCGGACAGTTTCCCGCCTTGCGGCGCCGGGCCCGGCCCGCCGCCGCTCACCGTCACCGTCACGGGTGACGGTAGTACTACGTACGGTCCGGGAGCCGCTGCCAGCCGGAGCCGCGGCGCGGCCCAACGTGACTCGGACCTTACTTACGGTACTACGGTACGGTACCGGACCGTACTACGGTACGGTACCGGACCGGACTCCGGGCCGGACTGGCGGCAGGATCGGACCGTACGGACTCGTAGTACTACCGGGTACCGTCAGTGACCGATCGGACTGACTCGGCGTTCAACGGTTCCGCCGATTCGCCGCGCGGCCGGCCCTGGATCATGTTGTCGGACCGTACCGCCGTGCCGTGGCAGCCGCTCGCTCGCCGGACGGTGCCCCCGGCGGTCGCCGCGCCGCCTCAGCATACGTACGGTGACTGACGCCGCCCGGCCGCCGTGAGTGGCGCCGAGTCAGCTGAGTCAGTCGTACGGTACGGTCGGACAGCGAGTCTCAGTCCGGGTCACTGACGCCGTGACGGGACGGTACGTGACTGAGTCACGGTACGACCGTAGTACTTTAGTACCGTCGACGGTACCGGAGTACCTTCGCAGTACTGTATGCCGCGCCTGCCAGCCGCGGCCGCGCCGCAGTCAGTGGGTCATGTCACGTTTATTGCTGACGGCCGCGGGACCGGGAAGATTCCCTAGAGCCGCAGTTACCCGGTGCCCACGTGATCAACCCTTCGCATTTTTTATTTGTTCATTTTACTAGGTACTAGAGGGAAGATCGGAAAGTTGAGTGAAACTCCTACGGAGGACTTTACCGATGAAGGCGGCAGAACGGTAAGTTATGCTGACATGCTGACGGCCCCCTCTCTTAAAAGTCATCGTTTCATTACAAAGAGAGTTGTTTTCGTATTTTTGGGCCCGTGCCTTGTAGTATTTCATCCCTGATTTCATCCCTGATTTCATCCCTTCCTTGGCTCGATAACTGGCAGACTTTCTCTCTTCACAACTTCAACGAACATGTCTCCTTCACAAGCCACGACGATGCCCTCCCATCGCGCCCTCAATTCCATCGACGCTCCTTCCTGCTCCTCCTGCCCTCCCCCGCCCCCCTTCAGCCTCAGCCCCGAGACATGGAAGAGCTTCTCCCTGGATAAGCGACGGAGACTCTCGTGCCTGGCTAACTCCATCGCGCTGGTGCAGAAGAGGATGGAGCAGAGGCACCTAGGCGAGCTTGCGGAGCTGCCAAGCATTTCACGACGAGCCAGCAGGGCGCACTGAAGAAAAGCAATTTGGACGTTCGTTGAGCAAACAATTCTGTAAATTAGCAAAATTACCACTCGAAAGAAGAGAAAAATAAAGAAGAATACAATCTACAATGGTCTCTATACAATGGGATGTTTAGTTCAATTATTTGGGGAAGCCAGGTAGGGGAAGGAGGGACATGCGCGAAGAGCTGGTCCACATATGGAGCAGAAGTTTGCAGGGAAGAGATGACACACACAGAATCAGAAATGACAAGTTGCTACAGTTCGTGAACTGACAACGAAGCTGTACTGCCCTCCTCATTGTTTAAGTGTGTTTAGATTAACAACAACATCCTAACTCCATGGCTTGAGCAACGAAGGTCACACGTTCAAATCTTCATTGCTGAATTTCATGCTTCAACCAACCAGTCGATCATGCAAGACAATGTCAACGTTTTTCTTTATTGTCAAGCAGTCTGACCGAAGGAGACTTCAATGAGTATATGTACATCAACTCTTGTTGTCCATCTAGAGTTCACTATACAAGCAGTCAGGGCACTTCTAATGTCCTGTTAAAAGGTCGCTGGCAGTCAGACTGGACGAGGCTCATAGTGCGATGGTTGGAAGGATAGGCAAGTAGTTCCGGTTCGTGCAAGCTAGGCAGTCAGTCAGGTCAACCATGCAAGAGGATCTGAGAACGCAACACAGCATTACCAGGGATGCACAGGTCATACCCGACTTCGAGCGCATTCATGTCAGCGATGTAAGGATTCACTTCCATCAGGTTCAGAATTGTAGTCCTGAATTTGACTGCAGGACACGGTCAAGGACACAAGCAGCAGTCGCAATCGAGACAAGAGATCGAGAAGGGAGAAGAGACTTACTGGCAACGTTTAGAAGGGTGTCCCCCGTCTTAACAGTGTAGTTGACCCCCAGATGAATCACTGCGAAACTAGACGTCAGAACAACCTCGGAAACTCCAGGAGATTTCACCTTGCGCGTCCTGAATGAAGAGATTCGGATCTGGAGAGATGAAGCTGTTCATATTCCACAGACGTCGCCAGTTCAGACTTCCAAGATATGCACGAGAAATCTGAGCACGATATCAACTTGGAAGGGAGTATGAATGGAAGTTTCTTGCCGCTAGAAAGGTATCTCCTGTCCTTGCTACATACTTGCAGAGCGGAACACGGAATACTACACACCGTGTGCTGCTTGCCTGTTAGAATAGAAAGTCAGCAGCAGACAACGAAGAACGCTAGCATGAGGTTTTTGCCTCGATAGGAGCTGAGGTGCACTTCAAGCAAGCAACAAGCGTTTGACCCTCGAGGCCACGGCGCGCGTAGAAAGCCAGCATCTTGGAGGATGGCGGGTAAAGATCAAGAGTGCCGTCGGGCAAGATGCGCGGGTAATTCATGTCTGGATGGAGCTCTATGACAGATGTGTCGTTGAGGGAGGGAGAATTCTGCTCCGGATACGGATGACTTGTCAAAGACACAAGCTGCATCGATGAAAGATGTCAGACTAGACAGCTGCCTGACACTTAAAGGAAGAGAAAACGTCACCGTGATGCTTGTAGGATAGTTCGAGTTGCATGTGAACTGTACCTGCTGGCTGGTGCCCAGCAACACTTCATACTCCTGTGAGCAAGCTAAAGTTACGATCGTTCATGATGCAATCATTGTCATGTCGAAGGCACCATGGTATCATTGACGGGACTCTGCCATGAGACGACGGAAGAGGCGACAGAAATGTTCAAGTACACTGTTCGGTCTAAATTTGGAAAGTAAATCCCAGCCTGCCAGGGTCGTCAGGAACAAAATTTTCTTCACTCGCTCTCACCGTATGAATGTAACCAGCAGCAAAACTTCTTGGAGTCCAAATGAGATCGATCGGCCCTGAGCCTGAAGCTTGCATCCCTATCGGCAGTCCAGGGTCTTTGCTGATTGAGACTGCAGTGGAGTTTACGGTGATAGTGATGGTCTGTCCCACGAAGAGGGGGTAGCTCAGGTTGTAAGAGTTGGCTGCATACATGTTGAAGGTCGGTACGAAAGACTTTGACTGGCAGTATCCCGCAAGGCAAACATTCATGCAATCTGGCTCGTTCAAGAAAAGCTCATCGATCCCTGGTACGGTGCAGCTCCAGTAACTATATATGGGATGGACGCTCAATTGGATGTCGCCATCTCCAGAAGCAAGGGATGCGACTGAAACGAGCAGCATCAACCTTACTAGATGGAATGCAGCCATTGTGCTTCCACTCTTGCAGACCATCCTTTCTCAGAACGCAGGAAGTGAGACCACCTGAGAGCAGCGGACCAAGACAGATCCCTCCTTCTCACCTCACCTCTCCTCTCCTCTCCTCTCCTCTCCTCTCCTCTCCTGAGCTGTCTTGTTCTGCCTTGTCCTCTCCTCTCCTCACTTGCTCTCCCTCTCTCTCTACGCACGTCCCCTCTTATCCCAGGTCGCAGCCAAACAGCATGGCGACCCCTCGCTCGAAACAACTTCACTCAACAATTCGTTACAAATGAAACAGAATCTGAACTTCGATAACGGTCTGTAACGCATCTTTCGTGCATGGTCAAAGAGGGGGTCGAATTCTGATGTAAAGGGTGGTAGGGGTGGTATAAGCGAATTCTTTGCGCCATGATCAGAGGAAGCGGCAACCTGTCCTTTGCCACGGCCATGGCGCTGCTGATGCTTATGGAGCTTGTGGTAGGAGCCTCCTGCTTTGTCCTCAAGCCTCAACATCTTCCGAGCTCATCAGGACGAAGCACCTTGGTCTGCTACAAGGCACGGAATGCAGGAGATTTCATGTCTGCCCGCACAGTCTTCATGCAGAGCGAGAACAGACGCGGCATGCTCAAGGGAGCGCTCTCATCGCTGCTTGCTCCTCTCCTGGGTATTTCGGTTGCCGTAAGCGACTCGCTGGCTGCTGCCCCAACAGGTGGTAGCATTGCGGTGGTCGGAGCCAGCGGTGGGACCGGTAAGGAGTGTGTCAACGCACTTGTCCGACGAGGAATCCCTGTCCGTGCAATCATCCGGGCGAAGACGAACAGCAAGGGGAAGGATTTTGTGCTGGAGGGGGACAGCTCGCTGGTATCTGAGGTGATTGGGGACATTACGTCTCCCGATACCCTCCGCGATTCCTTGAAAGGTTGCAAGGCGCTCATCTTTGCCGCCAGTGCATCGAAGAAAGGAGGAGACCCTAAACAGGTGGACTATCAGGGCCTCTTGAACTGTGCTCAGCTGTGCATCGACCAGAACATCGAAAGACTCGTTGTGGTCAGCTCTGGCGCTGTGTCCAGACCGGATTCCGCTGTGTACAAATTTCTCAACTTGTTCGGATCCATCATGTACTGGAAGATCCAAGGCGAGAATGAGATGAAAGGCATGTACAAATCAGCAAGGGAGAAGAATCCGTCGTTTGCATGCTCCTACACCATCGTTCGTCCCGGTGGCTTGACTGAGGGCGCTGCACTAGGGGTCAGCTCCGTGGAACTGAACCAGGGGGATACGAAATCGGGGAGGATCGCGCGCGCTGACGTGGCGGAGATCTGTGTTGAGAGCATTTTTAGCAAGGATGCGGCAGACACGACCTTCGAGTGCTACTACAAAGACACCGCAAAGCCATTGGAGGGAGTTGGTCTATCCAACCTGTTCAAGAAGAAGACGTCCGACACTGAAGCTCAGAGTATCATGACGGGAAAGGAGCGGCAGGCCGACTCGTGGCCCAAGCTCTTTGCGGGCCTTGACAAGGACGTGTAGGCCTCCATCCCAACTTTAGCCTTGCAGCTGAGCCTTGTCGAACCTCAACATGCCATGATGAATGATTGAACTGAGGTGACCCCTAACTTGTGCCGGTTTCCAAGTTTCAGTAATAAATGGTTAATCGCCCAGCGCCTCGCTCAGAAACGCCGGGTCATCTGCCGCGCTCCTCGCCCCTCTCCCAGTCACTTGATGATTCCAATTCGGACGAGGGCCGGTCCGCAGGCTGGCAGCTGAGTGCCAGCCCGGCCTGTGACCTGCCCCGGGCCAGTCCGAGGGGCCCGCCCGTCACGGGCGCCGTATAGGGCCGGGCCGCCGGGCCGCCGTTCGTGCCGTGAGCCTCCGGGCTGACTCTCAAGCAGTTACTACTAGTGACTGCCAGTGCCGCGGCACTGAGGGCAACCGTTGCCTGAGCCATTCGGCCCTTGAATCCGATGATCCGACCGGCCACCCGGCCGGCCGGCGCCGTGCCGTCCGTCACCGGCCAGTGTGTGCCATCCGATCCCGACTGAGTCCGGGAACTTCCGACCGGACGGCCGGAAGTCATGCCGGGCCCGCCGCCGGGGCCGCGCGGCCTTCGGAAGACTCGGCGGTAGTAAACCCGGTGACCCATCATGCTGGCACCTCAGCCGGGCGGCGGCGCAGCCTGGGCGCCCCCAGCTGGGGGGCGATGGACACCGTCACGTGACTCCACCCGGGACCGTGCGGCGTAAACAGGACTGAATTGAAAAGGTTTGTGGGACTCGCGCTGTCATAAAATGAGGGGGTAGGGGTAGTGCTTGTACCGGGTATGTTTCATGTGATTGATAGAGGCAGTATAGGGTACGGTTCCAACCATAATTCAAGGGGTGGGGTAGGGGGTAGGGGAAACCTCTATTTAAAACCAGGGCTGGCAGCTGGAGGGCAGACCAACATGGGAGGACCATGCTATGTGATGAACGAAGAGGGCAAGCTCGAGAGCGGCCCATCATGCACAGACAACTTCCAAGTGGTGAAGTTTGTCTACGAGGGGGATGAGTGGCACTCTGTCGAGCAGTGCTTCCAGGCAGTGAAGTACGAGGGTCCGATCCGGGAGATGATCCGATCGACCCTGCCTGAGGGCTCGAAGTCCGAGTACATGTACGGCATTGATGTATGGAGACTCGGCCAAAAGTATGGCCAGGAGAGGAGGCCTGATTGGAAAGAGGTGAAGGTGGAGATTATGTATAAGATCAACCATGCAAAGTACTTGCAAAACCCCGAGTTGCAAGAACAACTCGCCTCTACGGGGGAAGGGTTGATCTGGGGTGAAGCCAGTACCGATAACTGGCAGATCTGGAACAGCATTATCCAGATGCAACTCCGAAAGGAGATTGTTGAGGGGAAACTCGAGCAAGGTCCTCTCGAGGGCGAACCGCTCAAAGAGGCCTTGCGTGGGTACCTTCAGGTGCTGTACCAGTATGACTTGGTTGATTCCATGGAGTATGTTTAAACCCATGAGATATGTCCTCGCCACGAAGAGTGTGGTTGGTGGATACTCTGATACAAAAACACCTTAAAATGATAAGACTTTAAAAAAATAAGAATTAGAACAATTAAAATGAATAAAAACTGATAAAATCGCTTTCTGTTGGCCCCATTCAGCAAAAAAGTCATAGCTACCACGAGTAAGAAGTCGAAGGATTAGAAAAGAATCGAATTCGGTAGGACTCTGACAAAACCAGTAGACTTGAGCAGGGCATGTATCAAGCGTTCCACGCACAAATGACAGAAACGAGGTAGGAATAACATGTACCTACCAAAGAACATGACAGTTCTGATCCAAAATGCTCTCACACATGAATCGGAGAGACAGGAATGCTTTTTCATTTTCATAATAATTCACAAGTGCTCAGCAGAAAAACACTACCATGTATCGTTGGACCATCCTGGAAGATGACATCTTGTGCAACGCATGATCATGAATCGATTACATCAGGCAAGAACATCGCTACCTTCCTCCACCTTCTGCAAGAATAACTCCAGGCATGCAGCCTTTAGACAGCTGATGTACATACTTCCTTTGATCCTGTTCGAGAACAGTCTCAAACCACAGGTTTGGAGGCGTAAATGAAAATTCATGCTCTAACTCACCTTCTTATCCAAGGAAAGTCCTACGCCAATGCATTTTTTTATTTCTCCAGAAGATCCACTCCCCGCCTTTGAAAACATCACATTCATCAAGCAAAAGCGAGTGCTGCGGTCAAATTCTTCTTCAACATTCAACTCGTTTCTCGTCCAGCGGCATTGCACATGATAGAATTGTCATACACTTAATCACCTGACAGAATCCAAGCAGATGAGCTTTCAACCATCTCTCACCATAATACTGCATGCAATACATCAGTCTCCCCACTTCTTCGAATTGTAGTCGATAATCGGAGGAAACATTTACATTGAAGGAGCAGTGCATTGCGCAAACAAGGTGGAGAAGTGCGAGCACGAGGAAGCCTCCTGCATATCACCTGAGAGCTGTACTCATGGAAGCTGTCATCGTCCGGCAACGAGTGCAGCATCATCGCATGGGCGAACATCTGCTCCGCTTCTCACTGCATGCACTATTCCTGGCGCTGTGGTCGTTCGAAACCGTTATAACTTAACCGTATGAAACGTTCACATAACGGTTCTGGTGGAGGTGTAGTGGAGAGCCGCCTCAGAGGGGTCTCTAGAGAGATTTTCAAGTCATGGGGTGGGGTAGATTTAGGAACACAGAGGGTGGGGGTAGTATACTCAGGACTAAAGTAGGGTACTTGAAAAGAAAACAAGTAGGGTCCCCACCGGTTCTTGGTCGGACACCAGTGGGGTGGGTCATGGGGGTAGGGGTGACAAGAAGCGGGGGAATGGTGAATTTGTGCGGTGGGAATGAGACGATGGAAGGGACAGGGGGGGAGTGAGTGAGAGGACAAGTGGCAGTGGGATTGCAAGAGCAGATCGTAGGACAAGGAGGAGGAGGAAGACAAGAAGGAGGAAGTAGGAGCGGGGGAAGGAGAGGCAGAATTGGAGTCTGAGGAGGCAGGGGAAATGCAGATGTCACGGTACGAGCGCCAGTCAAAGGGATCTTCTGCATCATCTTAAAGATTTTGGACCAGCGGAAAGATGAGAAAAAGGAGATAGAAAATAAAGGCGAGGACAGAGGAGGCGGGGTGTGGTCTTGGCGAAAGAGACGGAGACGAGAGAAAACAGTTCAACCTATCACGTGTGTAATTCATCTCATTGCCTGATATTGGTTAGAGAGGCTGAATTTAGGTCAAGTTGTAGCATTTGGATACAACTGGATGTATGTAGGACGTTCAAGGAGCAGCAATCGACTATCTGTGTAGCACAGGACCAATTCTTCCTAGTCACGAGTCGCTGTGGGTGATTTAAAGAATTCCGCAGGTTCATGAGAGCATAAGTCAAGTTCACCTGATCGCCTTGAATCATCGCTGAAGATGGCAAAGGTGACGTTGAGTTGTCTCTGTTTACTTTCTTTCTCGATTCCCTTCGGTCTCGTTGTGTCCTTGACTTGGTACTTTCGGATCGTATTGGTGCTCAATCGTGCGACAGGTTTCTGTTCGCCGGTATGCGGCCATGTCGGATGAGATTGAGCAGCTTGACGTAGAGCTGAATGAGCTCCTCTCGAGCGTCAGGAACGATATTGAGGTGACATGTACACTCTCGTGATGTTTGTAATCGACATCGCAGGGCCTCGAATGGGATCCCAAGAAATCGGCGATGTCGGGGATGGAGAAGAAGGAAGAAATTTTGAGATTGAAGAACCAACTCGATAAGGCCAAGGGAATCTTTCAGAACTATAAAGCAAGACTTCCCCCATCGGGGTATCCCAATCTAACAGTTTTGCAGGTGGAAATGAGAGAACTAGATAGGGATGAATTGAGGAAGTATGAAGGCTCGGCGCGGAAACATCAGACCACCCTAGACGAACTGAACAGAAACCTGAATTATGCGAAATCTGTGAGATGATGGGGATGGATGTGTACGGACGATAATCTCTTGCTCGCAGCTTGTAGAGAAGGCTGAGCTGATGGGGGATAAAGGTCAGAACCCTCCCTCGGCTGCCGATGGGAAGTAAGTGTTGGGAAAGCAAGCCCGGCTGTCGCTGATTGCTTGCAATGCAGAAACGCGAAGGAACTGATAGAGATGGCCAAGCAAACTCAAGCCACGGATGTTGAGGTGACGCTTGTACCGCAGAATCTCCTTTATCATGTGAACCGTTTCTTCTTTGTCGGCCAGGCCATGATGAGGATGCAAAGAATGATTAACGAGAGTGAAGAGACGGGCATGGAGACGAACATCAAGCTGAAGACACAGGTGAGAATTTTTCAGGCCAAATCTTGCTTTCATACAAGGCCTCCTACCCTTTTGTTTCGTTTGTCAAGGTTTCGTTTGCAGACTGAGCAGCTGAAGAACATTCATGCTGATGTTCATACGGTGTCATCGAGGATGAAAACAGCCGAGAAGCTTGTGAATCAGATCGGACGACGACTCGCGACTGACAAGCTCATTGCATGCATCATCCTCATTCTGGTTCTTTTCATCTCCTCCTCCTCTTCTTCTCATCTCACACTCGTTCCAGCTGCTCCTGATCTTGGCCATCGTGGTGGTGAAGGCGCTCGGATTAGATCAGAAAGGCTCCACCAAGGTGAAGAGCTTGAGCTCTAGTTTGTCTGTGACTTGGAGTCGCAGGTGGTTGGAGCCGGGGGATATGTGTACTACGTGGACTGTTCCTTCCCTATGAATGCTTATTTGGCGCAATGCCGATCTGAAGCACAGGCCACTCCTGCCCCTCCTCCTCCTCCTCCTCCTCCTCCTCCTCCTCCTCCTCCTCCTCCTGCCTCTTCAGGTTGGATGTAGACGTGGCTAGCAGGAAAGGACGCTGACAAGAATTTTCTCACCGCAGGAGCAGGGCCAAGGCAACAAATGTTACAGCTGGCAGACAGAATGTTTCAAAGGAAGTTGGAAGCAGAAAAAGCTCAATAATGAATATTCAAATACGTCACTCTCTCGACCTCCGTCCTATCTGTCACCGCCGTTTCTATCCCTTTTCCTACCGTCCTTCGCCCCCTGTTGTCTCCGTCTTCCCTCCACCATTCACTCTCCTCAGGTCCCTTCCTGCAGTAAGAGCAACACACTGACTCTACAAGAAACCTCCACCACATCGCAGGAAGGCACAGATTTGTGATCAGATTTCGTTAAGAAGCATTGTTATTAGTAGTCCATCCCGTTCCTCTCCATGACAGGCTTCTCCCTCCACAGCCCAGCAGTGAGTTGCTTCCAGCTCTGCCCCAGCAGGTCGTCACTGCCATCGGCTAGCGAGCCATCTGCATGTCTCTTCCACAACCCCCTGGTTAACTCGCTCCACGGCCTCTCCTGCTTCCCGTCCCCCGTCACGGGGTCAGTCGCAAAGTCGATCTCGCTCATGCACTGAGAGAATTCTGGATCTGAAGGGTACCTGCGAGCAGCCGAGTGAGTTGGGGCGAAGCAGAGGGTTGAAAGACGGAGAAAATGCAAGCGAGCTCGAAAGGTGGGAGGAGAATGGGATGGGAGAGGAAGGGGGAAAGAGGAGAGAGGAGAGAGGAGAGAAGAGAGAGGAGAAAGAGGGGAACGAGAGGTCCTCACTTGCTATAGCAGTAAAACCTCTTGTCGTCCCATGGTCGCCTCCCAGACAGTGTCGGCAGCATGTTATCAACCTCCCTGCTCACACTCTCCATGTGCTCTTGAATGCTTCCCGACGTTAGATTCCCTCGGTTCTTTGTGTACCAGAACTCAGGAGAAGGGTCGCCCTCTGCCTCAGTCACGATGCTCTCGAGCATGCCGCAGTCCTTGTGGGAGCTGATCAACCCCGTCTCCCCGCACTCATAGGACGGGATATCATACTCGACGTTGAAGTCCTTCAGGTCGTCGAAACTGTTGATCCCCAGCCTCTTGAGAGCATGAACATACTGACTTCCTACCGTGGGGAAGCCTTTCTTCTCCCAGAAATCCGACGAGTCTCCTCCCTGGTGTGTCAGCCAATGCCGAAATTCCGCGCGCTCCCACCCGTTCCTCTTGTTCAGTCTGTTGGGCTCGTCGTTCACCGAGTAGAGCCCATGAGATCCGTAGCCCTTCCCATATCGCTTCCCATCGCCATGCTTGAGGGCAAACTCGTTAGCCCACAGCTGGTAGCTTCCCTTCCCCGCACGAAGCCATGGGTCATGCCTCGGATTGTAAGTGGGAAGAGAGTCTTTGAGAGGTTCAACGTTCAAAGATGCAGCGAGGTGGCCGTTGAGAGGTTCCTGAAAGAGAGCAGAGGGATTCCGAGACCTATGTTGCCATGCCAAGAAGCAGAGCAGAGCTGTACCGGCAGCAGACAGGAGCAGGAGAGTTGTTTTGTGGATGTTGATATTGAATCTCCTTCGATCTGAATTGACTGGGTTGAGGGGGGTGAGAGGGTTGAGCATCTGAGATATTTTCCTCCAAATCTTCTTCTCCTTCCTCTACCTCTACCTTTTCCTCTTCTTCTACCTGTTCCTCTTGCTCTTGCTCTTCCTCTTCCTCTTCACTTGCTCGCCATCGTCCCAGCGTCTCTTCGTAGCCAAATTTTTCAGTCAAGTATGCCTGAGGCAGACCGTTATATTTACCGTTGTAGAATTGCAAGCCGCCCCTTCGCCATGTTCTTCTTCCCAGGTTCAACGTAGTCCTCGTTCTCCCTCCCTCTCCTCCCTCCCTCTCCTCTCCTCTACGATTAATGACTGAGATGATAGGTGGATGCATGAAGATATCTGAGGATATGGAGAGATACAGGTAAATATATACTTATATTTACATATAAATGATAGTCATATCAATAGATATATATATACAACCGTAATAAGA